CCGTAGATGGTGCGCCCCTCCTCGATCGCGTTGACGATGGAGGGGAACTGCAGAGATGGGGCCGGGGCGAGGGACCAGGGTTAGGGGAGCCAGGGAGGGTTTCGCTCCCTGAAACACACACAACACACACACAACATACACACACACACAACATACACAACACGCACACACACACAACACACATACACACACACAACACACACACACACACAACACACACACAACATACACACACACACTAAGACAACGCGTGCGCTCACCTGGTCGTCCATCAGAACGATGTCTGCCGCCTCACGAGCCACATCTGACACAAATCCAAAGAGCAAAGCACGGGGGCGGCGCGGACGGAGCGGTCTGTGTTTGGGCGCAGCTCTCGGGTAGAGAGGGCGCGCCGGCGGGGCAAGGACGGCGGAGGAGCCCACGAGCAGCAACCCGACGCAACCCTGCATGCCGGACAGGCACACGCACGCGCCCGCCGAGCCCCTCGGGGCGGAGATGCACGGGGCGCGGGCCCCAGCACCGCTGCACAGGGGCGCGGGGCGGTGCGCAGGCAGGCCTCTCACGGGGGCTATGATGCGGCGGCAGCCGTGGCCACCGGTTGGGCGGGCAGGGGTGCGTTTGTGGGTGGGGTGGTGGTGGTGAAGGGGGGCCGTAAGGTAAGGGGAGGGCGGGCCGCTCACCCGAGCCGCCCTTGCCCATGGCAACACCGATCTGAGCCTTCTTGAGTGCCGGCGCGTCGTTCACGCCATCACCCGTCACAGCCACCACCTGGGGTGTGTGTGTTTGTGTGGGGTGTGTGGGTGTGTGTGTTTGTGTGTGTGTGTGTGTTGTGTGCCTAGTATATGTCGTTGAGTTGTGTTTGTCTGAAGATGTGTCTGTGTGTACGCGCGTCAATGTGTACATCAACGTGTGTGTGTGTGTGTATGTGTGTGTGTGTGTGTGTGTGTGTGTGTGTGTGTGTGTGCGTGTGCGCGCGCGCATGTGTGTGTGTGCGCGCGCGTGTGTGTGGAGAGGGGCAAGTTGGTGCTCGCCGTGCAGGCGGGGGCACGCGGGCAGGAAGGGGCGGCCATTGCTGCACCCCCCACCTCTCCGAGGCGCTGCAGGTTCTCCACGATCTGCAGCTTCTGCTGGGGGCTGGTGCGCGCAAACACGATCTCAGGCTGCGGGGTTTGGGCGTTGCAAATAGGGCGTATTTGCACTTTTTGTGCAGTTTTTCATTTGGAGAGCAGGGAGCTGGGGTGCATTCCTGACGCAGTAGCGCAAGTCGGTTCGGTGGTGGATCGGCTGTGGTCGCGGCGGGTCTTTCGCCCCTGGCGGCCGTGGGGGCAGCGGGGGGAAAGCGAAAGTCGCCGCTGCCCTCAGCCGCGGGGCGGCGGCCGCCGGCGGGGCTGCGTCCGGGGCACCGCTCAGGGGGTAGCGCCCAGGGGCCGCCCACCTTGCAGAGGATGTCGTCCCACTCCTCCTCGGTCTTGATCTCCCTGGAAAAGCGGGGATTAGGAGATCACACGAGATCACACGAGATCGCATGAGGTCAGGCATGATCAGCAAGGATTAGGGGATGACGTCGAGCTCAATGCTCGCAGACGGAGGGTGGAGAGCCGAGGATCCAAGGGGGTCGCAGCGGCGGGATCCCCTGAGCAGCTGCAGAGGGAAGCGGCGGGGGCGCCTCCCCAGCTGCCCCGCCCCCGTCGGCGCATGGGGCGGGTGCATGGTGTGGAGGCATGGCCGCGGGCCGAGGGGGAGAGTTGGGGCGGGTCGACCCCCGGGGCCGCGGCGCACCTGATCTGGGCGCCGGTGACGACGGCGGCCCCAACGCGCTCGTCAGACATGGGGATTTGCCCCACAGGGACGCCGTCCTGCGCCGCGATCTCGCGCGCAGTCGCGAGGGTCACGATGCCGACCTGGGGGGACCGGGTTCCGCATGGGGGTTAATGGAGAGGGGGGGGCGGAGCGACGTGCGGACGGCCGGGACGGTGTGTGCGCAATTGTGGGGCAGCGGGACTCGATGGGCCGGCGACAGGGGGCGGGTGTGAGCAAGGGGCGGCGGG